ACCACGGTCAGTTTTATGTAGGCATCGTGGCAGAGATCTTTGCCAGATCTGTTTTATTTTTTGTACCAAGTAGCCCATTCGTTTATAAGCCGCCACCCCCCCAAGATGGATCGGTAAAAATGGCAAAAACTGTATGACCCTTTCATAAGCCGACCCTATATTTCAATATGCAATATAACATACACAATGGACTGCTTACCTTGCCCCTAAGGTCTGAGGCATTTCTATGGCATAAGCTTTAGGGATTTAAAAGTTAAATCACTTGAAACAGCAAAATATACTAAATAGATTTAAAGTGAGAATAGATGGATAGGAAAAGCTGAGGTACAGAGAGGTTAGGTGACATGGCCAAGGTCATACAGTAAATCAGTAGCTGTAGTACAGGGGTAGGCAACCTATGGCACGGAGCTGATTTTCAGTGGCACTCACACTGCCTGGGTCCTGGCCACCGGCCCAGGGGGGCTCTGCATTTTCATTTAATTTTAAATGAAGCTTCTTAAACATTTTAAAAACCTTATTTACTTTACATACAACAATAGTTTAATTATATATTGTAGACTTATAGAAAGCGACCTTCCAAAAACATTAAAATGTATCACTGGCACGCAAAGCCTGAAATTAGAGTGAATAAATGAAGACTCGGCACACTGCTTCTGAAAGGTTGCCGACCCCTGCTGTAGTAGGAAGAGAATCCATGTCTCCTGCTTTAACTATTAGAAAGCACTGTCTCCAGCTTGCTGTAGCTTGTGCTGCAGCAAAAACAGAAATATTCCAAACAGCATCGTGTTAAATTACAGCACAAAAGGAAGACAATATGTCAGGAAAAAGCAAAAGAATGAGACGGAGGCTGTATGTCAAGACAATACGCACTGTTTGTCGATTTGTGTCTGAATATAACCCGGATCATTTCACTTTGAACAGCTCAAAAAACGGTACTCCTCATTTCATGTATATCTGATAACCATTTTCTTGGTGTGTACAAACCTGAAGCTCGAACGTTTGTACCTCTTCCAGTTGCTATGCTGATTGTTGCTGTAACTAAGGAGTGATAGCTTGGGTTGTTATTAAGAATGGAATTTCAAACGCCTTACCAGGAGTTGACCTGACTTTGAAACATACAATGTATTTTCAGTAATCTACATTTTGTGTCATGCCCCTCACTGTCTTCATAAACAGACATGATCAAGAATAAAATCTCCATGTAGTTTGGGTCTGATTCATCATCATCGTCGTCACTCCAGTTTTATGCCAGTGCAAGTCCCCTGAAATCAACTTGGGTACAGTACTTAAGCTTAGGCCCCTTAATTGCATATTTGGGCGCCTCGCTAAAAAGTGGCCTGATTTTTTCAGATGTGCTAAGCCTCCACAGGATCCACGGACTTCAGTTACCTCAGCACCTCTGAAGTGTAGGCCACATGTACTTAGTTGCCTCACTTGAAGAGGTTTAGTACAGTGGTTCTCAACCAGAGGTCCAGGGCCCCCTGTGGGGGCCACGAGCAGATATCAGGGAGTCCGCCAAGCAGGGCCAGCATTAGATTTGCCGGGTCTCAGGGCAGAAAGCCGAAGCCCCACCTCTTGGGCTGAAGCCTGGGGCCCCGAGCCCCGCGCCCCGCCCAGAGCTGAAACCGAAGCCTATGTGTGATGGGGTGCCTGCCCCGCACTGGGCTCTAAGGGGTTAATAAAGCCCTAGGGAGGTTGCACAGGAGGCAGCCAATCAGAGAAGGGCTGAAGGGAGCAGCCAATCAGGGCCAAGCAGGCCCATATAAAAAGAGAGCTACAAAGGACTGGGGGACATTTCTTTACTGGGAGCTCATAGAGGAAGGACTGTCTCTGGAAGACTGAAAGAATGGCCAGCGCCCTGGACAGAGCAGTACTGCTAGCAGAGACTGGGGGAGTGAGAGACAATTTCTGGATGGCTGCTGGAGTTTGCAGACTGAGGTAAGGGAAGTGGCTGAACAGTGGACTGCAGATCCCCTGGAAGGGGAAAGCACAGCCAGAGAGCTGTCACAGAAGAGGATACTGTTGTCCTTAGAGAGTTATGGGTCCTAGAGCAGGAGTGATGGTGGTGAGGCACCACCAGAGGACAGTGTGCTGATGAACAGAGCTAATCCCCAGGACAGCCAGCAGGAGGCACCACAGTGGTGAGTGAACCCCATTACACTAAGTAACTTAGATTTGTGGGGACTGTGTGATGTGTGGCCCCAGGTAAATGCCCTGCTTGCAACCCTCTAATGCTTGCCCTGACTTTTTTATATACAGGAAAAGCTGCTATGGCATAGGTGGGCTGTAGAGTTTTTACAGCATGTTGGGGGGGAGGGAAGCTCACTCAGAAAAAGTTTGAGAACCCTTACCCTAGTAGACAGGGGATTGGAGGAGAAGTCCAGGAGACATAAATTCTACTCCCAGCTCTGCCACTCACCTGCTGTGTGAGGGTGGCCCAAGTCACTCCTCCTGTCTGTACCTCTACTTCCCCTCCACTCTTTTTATATTTGAAGTATAAGCTAGTCAAGGGAGAGACCATCTCTTCCAGTATGAACTAACTTCTTAGCACAGTGGGGCCTCAATTTTAGTAAGGTCACTAGATGCCACTCTGGGGGGGAACAATAACCAAGTCAGGGTTAATTTTAGCACTCAAGTTTGAATTTTGGCTATAGGTTTGGTCTTTTCACTGTTTGCCCCCTCTATTCCTCCATTGCCCTTGACTCTACTTGCCCTGGTCAGTTTCACTTTCCATTTCACTTGTTGTAGCATGTAGGGTACAGGCAGCGCATGTGTAGCTACACACCACGGTGAAATCAGGCTGCATCCACACTTGTCACTATGGTGTGTAGCTACATCAGGCAGAGAGAGGCTCTGGTTCTGGCTCCAGTTCACCACTGCCAGAGCCTGCCTTTGTGGTGGGGAAAGACTCCTGCAACTGGAAGGCAGCAGGGTGCTACACTGCTAAAAGGAACAGTGTAGAGGTGGGAGGCATTGCATGGATGCATAGAGATCCATCTAGAATATATAGAAACAAATTCAAGCCCTATATAGGTCCTTTATCTTCACCATTATACATTTCCTATTCCTATAGCGGTAACAAATATTGTTAATGGTGTCACACAGTAAGGGATGACTGTCTGATGTTTTAACGGTATCAGCAACAATCTGTCCCTCAACCTACACTATATTTCATATTCTCTGAATAAAACAAGGAAGTCATACACTTTTGAAGGACTTGAAAGCTATGCTGTGTAATGAAATCTCTCTTTATGGAGAGATGATGCTAGATTTTCTAGCATTGACAAAGTATTTGAACACTATAGGAGCAATTCTTGATACCTGCTTTGCAAATCTGAATTTTGCTCAATTAGCATGGACTTTCCAAGCACTCAAACCACATTTGTGTGGCTATTGCTCATAAAACAAGTTGCAGGAGTCTTGATCCTTCCTAAGTAACAGAGAATCTGCCATTTTGCATACCAACTGACATTTCAAAGCCATTAACCCATTTGGAGAGAAACAAATGCCTACCAGTTGTTGCCACTCCTGTTTTATTAATGAGATGATTTCAAATAGGCTTTTTATTGTGGTATGTTTGACTGGCAGTTGTTGGGTCCTGTTGAGTTTAGGTAGTGGTCTTTGGGACTAGTCCAGCACCCATTGAAGTCAATGGTAAAACTCCCCCTGATTAACAGTTCAGGATCAGGGCCTTTGTTAGTAATGTAGCTTTACTGGGTTTTGAGAGACTCAGCACGTATTTGAGTGCTTGAAAATCAGGATCATTTAGCAACATATAGCGATTGGAAAGAAACATCTCCTGTAGGCAGGTTACTCATTTTCTACTACAGGCATTACCACACCTTCCTTCAGGTGTCTGATATGGGCCACCCTAGGATAACATGCTAGATGGTTCACTGGTTTGATTTGCCATATTTCCTGTGTTCATACCAGCATAGGTTATCAAGTGTTTAACAGATCGTAAAATACAGCCCACAAAACATTATACAGGGTGAGTAGTCATCAGTCTCCACCTGGGACCTTCTAACTGAACCCCCAGTAACCTCCTTTCAGAAAGGATATGGCAGTGAGCTGCTTAAAATGCATACCAGGTGGGCCCAATAGTGATTGATTTAAGTAAAATAGATACCTGGCATACAGCATCTAACTAGTTTATGTTCTGTTTAGGAGTGTTCAGCTAACCTTTCTAAAGGCTGGGGAAATGTCCCAGATGACTGGAAGGTGTTGTCTTTTCCTTCCCTCCTCCAGTCCACTCCTACTGGATCATCTTGGGATTTTTCTACAGCATCCATTTCCACGGTAATACAAGAACTCCACATCCCCAGATCGGGTCTTGTGGTGTTTCTTTTCAAGACTTGTTTTTCTCCCTTCAATAGCTTAGACATGCCAATTGTTATCAAATACTTCCAGACATCAAGAGCTAGCTAACTGATTCTGGCCCTTCCTAACTATAGGGGGAGCTAAATTCGAATAGGCTTCCAAGGGAGGCTGTGCAATCACCATCAATGGAGGTTTTTAAGTATAGGTTACACACACATCCGCCTGGGATGGTCTCGGTTTCCTTGGCCCTGGGTGCAAGGGGCTACACTTGATCTCCTCTGGAGACGCCTTTTCCAGCCCTACATGTCTGATTCTAATACCTCCTTAGAATAAACCTACCTCCTTTTGTAACCTTGCTCGGGACACCACGATTGGCTCCATCACTGCAAGCCTGCGATGCAGTGATAAAGGGGACACTTGACTAATCGAGCCCTTCCTTCGGGGGGCTGCCTGCTCTGCTCGCACCTTTTTTAAGCGGCAGAAAGGTGCCAACTTCCCCCACGCCCCCCCCCCCCGGTAACAGCTCTGAAAATGGCACGCACGACACCTGCGCCGCGACCGTGCGTCTGCTGAGCACGGGGCCCTGCAGGGCACGCGCCCGCCCCCGGGTCGCTCGCGGGGCGGAGCCGGCGCCCACCTATTGCGGGAGCGCTGCAGCCGCGCGCCGCCTGCGTCACGCAACGCGCGAGCCGGGCCGGGCTCTGACGCCGCATCAGGCTACCTCGCTTGGGGGCGGGGGGATCCGAGGTGGCCACGCCCCCATCTCAGCACGACAGCCGCTCGCGGGGGACTCGGGCAGTCAGCGGGGAGGGGCTCGGCTGGGGCAGGTAGGAGACGGGGGAGGGGGAGCACGCTGGGGGGAGACTGGGGGGGTGCACGCTGGGGAGGAGTTTCTAGCCAAGGGGAGAGGGGGTGCAGGAGGGTGAAGGGGGAGGGAGCAGAAGGAAATGGGGGGGATGCAGGGGCACACTGGGGGAGACTAGGGGTGCAAGGAGGAGTTTTTAGCCAAGGGGAGAGGGGGTGAAGGGGGAGGGAGCAGAAGGAGATGGGGGGGGGGATGCAGGGGCACGCTGGGGGGAGGGGGTGCAGGGGGAGACTAGGGAGGAGTTTTTAGCAAAGGAGAGGGGGGGTGAAGGGGGAGGGGATGATGACAAGGGGGTGCAGGGCGGTGGGGTAGGCACTAACCCCCACATTCCCAGTTCAGAGACCATCCCAGCAGGGTGGGAGGTTCAGTTCTGGCTGTGGGAGTATCGCCCCACTGCATGCCCATCCGTGACAGATGGGGGCAGAAACTGTGTCTTCCCTCTACCTGCCAGCTCCTTTCCTTTTCCCTTTTCAGGGATGTATTCTCACTGATCTTTGCATGATCTCTGACTGGAGCAGTTTTACCTTCACTTTTTTCCCCTTCTCAAATTGCACAGGAGGAGACCTTTGTAAGTGTCTTCTATTTTAAAGAGCCCAGCAGGAGTCTTGTCACAAGAGGGACCTTCTTTTTGTCTCCATCACTGGTTCTTCTAATCTGGCTTGGGTCACTCTTGAGAAATCAGTTGCCATCCATGAGACTGAATGCCTTACTCACATTGGTGAAAGTTGTTCACATCTGTAGTGCCTTTGTATTTTAACAGGTCACCCCTTAAGAGTAAAGGAATCATGATCTGGCCCCCTCTGCTTACTTTTGATCTGAGCTGTGAAATAACTTGGTGGTCTCAGTCCACTCTTGTTTAGATTGTTAACTCTTTGCAGCATGGACTGTCTTTTTGTTCTGTTTTTTGTAGAGCATCTAGCACAGTGGGGTCCTGGGCCACAAGCAAGGTTCCAAGGCAGTATAACACCACAAATAAAAAATAATGCCTGTTTCTTATCTCTGCGAGATGGGTGAGGCATTACCTCTTCCACATTGTCTCCTCTAACATTCTGGGATGGACTCAGCTACAACTACACTGCATATTTCTTATTTAGCACTTCATCAGTAGATTAAAAAAATGCAGCTGTCCAGTAGAGAAGTCTTTATTAAAGGAGATGGTCAAAAATTGGTGGAAATGTTTTGTTTAAACAAATTTTGAAAATTCAGAAGTTTAGGGTCTACTTATAACAAATGGCCACCTCATCAGAGAAGCCAGGGACTTCATGGGCCATGCCCACAGACCTTGCTTCTTGCTTAAGATGTGGCCACTTCAGGTCATGGTTAAAACTCTCATGGTGAGACACAAGAGTCTTAATTTTTGGTAAGAGGAAAGCTTGTGGCATATTTGGGGCTGGAATTTCAAACAAGCTTATGGGTGATAAATTCGTTTCAAAGGAGGTTATCAGGGGAGTATTAACCAGGGGTTGGGGGACTAGTACAAGTTAGTCTTGCATGAAAAATTGTTTAAACGCCTTTACTAATTGCCACTTTTTTAAAGTGTGGTCTTGTGTAGCAGTGGTTTTCAGACAGGGGTATATGTACCCTTGGGGTTATGCAGAGGTCTTCCAGGGGGTACATCAACTTGTCCAGATACTTGCCTTCATCTTACAACAGGCTACATAAAAAGCACTAGCCAAGACAGTACAAACTCAAATTTCATACAGACAAAAGGATAAAATAAGCCATCTTTCAGTGACAGTGTGCTGTGACACTTTTTTTGTATCTTTCTCTTGTATAAGTAAGCAGTTTGAATGAAGTGAAACTTTGGGTATGAGAGAAATCAGACTCCTGAAACAGCTACAGCAGTCTGGAAAGGTAGAGAACTGCTGTTGTATAGCAGCTCTAACTGGAGAGGACTACAGGTAAAATGTTCAAAAGTGCCTAGGGCACAGATCCTCCAAGATATTTAGGTTCCTAATTTCCACTGAAATCAACCAGAGTTAGGTGCCTAAATACCTTTGAGGATCTGGGTCTTGGTGTTTATGTGCCACTGAAAGTCTGAGACTCAGACTCCTAAGCCAGTTACTGCTTTTCAAAATTTTACCACTTCACTACTTGTGGAAAAAATTGGAAGTCATAACTAGGACAAACCTAGGGCTTTAGTTCTCACTGAGGCATGTAGGTGGGGGAAGCTACATAACTGTTAACCAGCTATACCTGTTTAGTGAAGATAAATAGAACTTCTCACTGGTTTTTCGAAAGTATGGAATAGGCTCTTATATAAGATGTATACTTGAAACAACATACCATTCATAGTCTGACATACTATTTACAACAGTCAAGTGAAATTGTTTATCCAAATACATGGATTAAATATCCATATTTATCATGGATTTAGAACACAAAATTGTGGTGGTTTATGCCATTGACATGTAACCGATTACATTGGAGGTGGAGCATTAATGCACTTGTTATGTTCCATAGGTATAACAATGGATCTAGTCCTGAACTATGTAGATTACAACTTTTTTACACCATATGTGTATCCCACCACATGGCCTGAGGATGAGCCCTTTCGACAGATCACCAGTCTCCTTATTGTAACAAATCTTGGTGCACTTGTGCTTTATTTGCTGTTTGGAACTTTGAGCTACTACTTGGTTTTTGATCACTCTCTGAAGCAACACCCCCAGTTTCTAGAGGTGAGCAGAACTTCAGCCTTTTCCTAGTATAACAACTTTACCTCTCAAGAATTCATATTCTGTGCTGAGTTAAGGTTAGATATGCATTCATAACACTTCAAATATGTGTCAACTCTTAAGAGGATCCACATGGACTCTGACTCTTGTTTGGGGGAGGAAGCTTTGAGGCAGAAACTGCTTCTGTGATTGGTTTTAAATAAAGATGGTTAAGTACCATTTTTCTTCAGAATATTAGTTTCAAAGCTGTATTAAGTCAATGCTCAGTTGTAAACTTTTGAAAGAAACATTTTGTTTCAGAGTTATAACCTCCATTTCCCTGAGGTCTTCATAACTCTAAGATTCTACTGTAATTAACCCTCTCAATACCCCTGAGAGGTAGGTGTCAGCATTTGAAAGCTGGGAAACTGAGGCAGAGTTTAAGTGGCCCAAGACTAAATAGTAATCCAGTGAATAAACCAGAATTGGAACTTAGGACTGGCAGCTTCCTAACCTTGTACTCATTTCCTCCATTGCCTGCTGCCTATCAGATAAATCAAAAATACAGGTAAAGCACCCTCCAATCTCAAGGCTACATTGCATTATGCAAACATGAAACTTCACCTTAAGAACAAAAGCGACAGTGGGTGGAAAGGACTCCTAATTATAAATTAACTTCTTTCTGCCTCCACACAAGGGGATGGACTAGTTGACCTTGTGAGGCCCTTCCAGCCCAGCATTTCTGAGGCCAACATTTGTTCTGCCAAACACAATGGCAGGGAGGTTTGGCGTATTTAAAGGTAGAGAGACAAAGTGCCACTTCCTTGATGAACAACCTTATGACTGCAAAGACCACTGTTGGCAGGACTGTACTGGCAGTGGATAATGAATTGCTCTCTCATGACAGAACATGGCAGAGGAAACTTGATTCAGGAGGATTATTACGAGGGTGGTGCTCTAGGTCTTTTCTACAAAATGAGTGTATTGTGAGTGGTTTAATTGGCCCACTGATCTGGGGCAGAAGCAGGCATGAAGTTGGTAGTACCTCTGCTCTTCCTGTTCTGGAGAAAAGTCACTCAAATTCTCCTGGAAAATTTAAAACCTGTCTGCTTTTTCTATTTAGAATCAGGTGCAGCTGGAGATAAAATATGCTCTGCAGTCACTGCCCTGGATCAGCATCCCCACAGTTGCACTCTTCTTTGCAGAGGTCAGGGGTTACAGCAGGCTTTATGACAACATTGAAGACTCTCCATATGGTATGGAAATTCATTACTTAAACTGAGCTCCTTGGGTCAGGAGCTGTCTTTTTTCCAATGTACAGAGCCTAGCACAATGGGGTACTAGGCCCTACAATACTAATACTTAGCATCCTAGCTACATTTCAATTGTTAATGCATTTCATTCTTCCCTCTTAGCTTCACTCTAATCCCTACTAGCCCCTTAGCTTGGAATACAATCTCCTGCTAACTTTCTCACCTCTCTTGCTCTGTAAAACCTACTTCCTCCTCACCTCTTCTCCCTTAAGTGTATCCAGCCCTATTTATTCTCTCTCCTTTTAGTGAGAACATGCCTTCATGCTGAAAATGCTATGTAAATTGATAGGTTGCCTAAATGGTTTGTTAAAATGTATCCATTAAGCTGTATTACACCTGGCTACTTCCAAAGCTGAGCTGAATTGTATAGTTCAACAAAAGAACACAATGGCATGCATTCTGTCAGAACTCTGATGCTTTAAAATTCTCCAAAACAATTTCCTCTTGGCAAGGGACTTAAACAAAAGGACTTTGATCCTGACAATTACTGTGTAACTCCTTTGACTTCAGTGCAGTTACTTCTGATTGACACCACCATAAATGAGAGGGCCTTAGTGTCTACACCCTCTTCAAACCTCACCTGAAGAGAAGCTTGTCTTTATCTTTTTCATGTGCAGACACAAGATAGTCTGGCACAAATGGTGGTGGCATTGTGTGTGCTCGGTATGTTTCTTATTCCTCCCACTTGTGCATCCAAGAGCTAAAACTGAAGAACCAGTCCCTATTTTTAGTGAAGCTGACAGCATTAATGGTTTATGCCATCAAAGACAACTCAGTTCTCTAGTGGCTCATGCTATTTCTATCTTTAAATAGATTCATTTACAAAAAGCCTGCCTGAAATTAAATCTGTTTAGGTTTGTTCTTTGAGTGCTGTAAAAGTCTAAGGGCATAATCAAGAGTTACCTCCCTTACACACAACATACTATACAGCTTTAATATCCCACATCTAAAAAGTGGGATTCCAGTTAGAGAGAACACTTGGGTGAATGCTGCTCCTCATGCCTTTCTGCACAATTGGAAGTTTTCAGGGCAGCCTGCAACTTACATTTTTGTCTGAGCTCATTTTTTTTACAAAACCCTTTTCATGCATTCCATTCCCTCCACTAGAAATGGTTTTATTTAAACAAATAAACATTCCCCTGCAGAACTGCAACCCAAACACTGCAGCACCAGGAATCCACCATTTGTTACAGCAGGGCTTAGGAGCCCAATCTTAGACCAGGACCCCACCATGCTAGGTGGCATACAAATGTGTAACAAACAGATGGCCCCTGTCCCCAAATGCTTATAACCTAAGAGACAGGACAGGGGCCCAACAGAGGTGGGGCGGGGGGAGAGGCACAGAAAACAATGAGACTTTACTGTTTCATTGGCCAGGTTTACATTTTGTACTGGTAATAAGCAATGAAGTAAATAGTTGCAGTTTTCAGTTTGAAGGTGTTAGTGGTAATAAGGGCATTTGTTGGTTTGTTAAATCAAGTCTCTGTAAACTAGGAGACTCAACCTAACTTCAGTATCTCTGTTGGCTGCATTTATCCAGTCTGTGTACTGGTTCCAAAGTGGAAACAGTCTTGTGTTGCTTCCTGTCTTCACCTGTGTTTTGGAAAAACTGCATATGTTTCTATCTGATTATATACACTAGTGTGTGGAAGTGTAACTTTAGTACTTTAAAGGACACTGTCAAGTAGCTAATGTGTTTTTAGGAGGATGGTGTTAAGATCAGATCACATCTCTTTATGGATGAGACCATACTGAAATCTTCTCCATTAGGTTCAGTTCAGCGTTTTAGCACCTAAAAGCAATCCCAACTTTTCACCAGCAAGAATCGCTCCACTAATACAATGCAAATCCTGTTGAGCTGAGCTTGTTCTTTATAACCTAAATGATTTAGCCTCAAGATATAGAAGTAAAATCTTTCAGTAATTCTATGTGCTCCTTGTACCTTTTCAGACTTATTTGTCACAATCTTGACACTTACCTAATTGTCTAATCTCTTATTTTTCCTAGGATGGTTTGGTGTAATCCTTAGCATGCTCTCTTTCCTCTTCTTCACCGACATGTGCATTTACTGGATTCACAGGTTCCTCCATCATAAACTTGTGTACAAGGTATAAGTAGTGATATAGATATAAAGCTTACTAGATGTCAGAACAACTTTGTATAACCACTCGCCCAGGATGTGACCCTCCCTTTTTTTAAAAGCAGGGCATTGCCCAGAAGGGCTGAGTAAAATATCCTTCATTAGAAAGGACAGACAAGTCTGTCTGGTTTAGTATATTTTAATGGCAGTTTAGCAAGACTGATTTAAAATGTAATGGAACGCTACTGGGTTTTTTACTATAAATACAAAGATCTCTAAGAGGTAAGGCAGAACTTGCAGCCCAGAAGGAGTGGGACAAGTGGCTTTAAGCCACTTTTGTGCCTACCTGACCCTCAGCTCCTCTGGGGGTAGGAGCCATGAGGATGTGTCTAAAGCATGGCAGCTTCCTCAGGCTAGCCTCCTTTGTGGCAATACTGATCAGAATTTCTTTGATGTACCCTTCCCAGCCCTGTCCCTGTGCTATCCCTTATGCTGGGTTTTGCAAGGGGAGTCCTTGGAGGGCAGCCTTGTGAATGTCTGCCACAGTTCCTGTGCTGGAGGAATCCTCCCTAGCTCTGGCCCTTTTTAAGCAGCATAAAAGGGCTGGGATTGGGCTGAGGTTTTTTCCTCCCCAGTGTATTTTGGTTGTATACCTTATATGTCAATGTTGAAAGACACTGTCACAATGTCAATAGAAAAATAAAGGTTTTAGGCCTCAATTAATCAAAGAATTGATGCACATGAGTAATCCCATGGGATTAATTGGGGCTACTCACATGCTTAATTCCTTCTAGCCCAATGGTGGTATAATGTAAGTGAACATTTTAGGTTTCAGCTCCTGGTCTGAGCTCAGGCATGGGAGCCAGGAACTCTTGTGTTTGAATCTAATTCAGAGAATTCCCCCTACAGCCTAGGATAAGTCACATCCCCTTTTCTGCCTCAGTTTCCATGTTGGCAAATAAGATTACTTAACCCACAGGGAACTGGTTAGGATTGCTTGTAAAAGACATTGTGAATACACCCCATTGAAGTAGAAGTGGAATCTTTCCACTGACTGGCTTTCAGATCAGACCCTAAGCATAACATAGGACTAGATTTTTATTTTTATCTAGCATAAGATAAACGTTTGTTTCTCATGGCCCTGGTGGCGTCACTAGTTAACCTGACCCATTAACATGGTGGAAATCTTCAATTCTGTGGGTGTCAAACTCTAGATGAAAAATGTCCTTTTTAATCTGACCTTGTTCTCTGCAGTACAAGAGTGATTTAAACACCACAAATTGTAGGGTGGCAAATAAGCCATTTGGACCTGCTTCCAGATATTGCTGCTTTGGCGGGGGAAATGTATGTCTACACAGCAGCTGACTCGGCTCCAGCAGGCACACTAAAATGGCAGTGTGGCTGCAGCAGCTCATTTGAGCCGCCCAGTCCCCTGGGTACAGACTCTGGCAGCTAGCCAAAGATGTCACCATGCCCAGTGTTTTAGCACACGAGCTTGAGCAGAGCTTGCATTGTACCCTGTCTTGGTTTACAAGTTGAGAGACCAGGAAGAAATAGAGCTACAGTAAAATGCAGTTAGGCAGACATATTCCTAGTCATATGGTAGGCAGTATAGAGCTAGGAGGTGCCAGATTGAAGCCCCAATTTTTTTTGCCTTGTCAAAACATAAGCACTAACTCTGTTCTGTTCTTTAGCGTCTGCACAAGCCCCATCACCGCTGGAAGGTTGCTACGCCATTTGCAAGTCACGCCTTCCACCCTGTGGATGGCTTTCTGCAGAGTATTCCATATCACATCTATCCTTTCCTCTTTCCTTTGCACAAAGTGACCTACTTGGGTCTCTACATTGCTGTCAATGTCTGGACAATCTCTATTCATGATGGCGATTACCGTGTGCCAGATTTCTTGAAACACATTATCAATGGCTCTGCCCATCACACTGATCATCACTTGTATTTTGATTACAACTACGGTCAGTATTTCACACTCTGGGATAAAATTGGGGGCTCCTACAAAAGCCCCTCTTCCTTTGAAGGGAAAGGGCCACATGATTATTTGAAAAAGCTAAAGAGCGGAGAAATGGCCAGTATTAAAAATGGCCATGTGGATGAATTGGTGAATAGAGACAGTCTAAAGAATGAATAAATTTCCTCAAGCTATTGTAAAAAGGCCCTGACTCTTACAGTTCTTTTAAAAGGAAAAACCTACTTATAAAGAGCCCTTCCCCATTGTAGCATTCTTGGGATGCAAGCATTTTAGGTGCTTAGTAGGGTGGTTATGGTGGAGCTGTGTAGTTAAGTACCACAATACAGTCCCATAATGGGGGCCATTTATGGTGAGAGTAAAAAGCAGAAGACCTATGTAATGAAAAGATTTTTCTGCAGCACTTAATGCACATGTCAGAGCATTGAAATTGGGAGTGCATTTTCTAGTATAGGCTCTAATGTATTAAGTCTGCATTTCAATTCTGCCATAACAGAAGATCTTTTTGCCCTACTCAAAAGCTTTCTCCTGGAAGTACATTGTTCCAGATAGTAAGTGATCTCTGCCCAGTGATAGCTTACTGGGAATTTCGCTAATTGAGCCAGGATGCTGTAGGTGGTGCTATACAGAAATTTCACTATTGGCTCAGTGTATGTCAAAGGAAAATTGATCGAATAAAGGAAGACGCGTGCGTCAATACAAATTAATGCTTTGCATATGGAATGTGTGACTACTTTTCTGCATGCACATACCTCCAGCTTAATAAAAGAGGAAACACATTTTCCCAATTACTTATCCAGCAACTTTTATATATTAGCTTAGCATTAAAATAGAAACCATCTGAATCAAAACAGAGCTAACATTGTTCTGGCAGAAATTTTGTGTATCTTAAAATAGGAGGAAGATAGACCAGCCCTACCATTTTTTAAATAAAATCTTACACTGTTTATATAAACTACATGTTGAATTGTTTGAATGGATCTATCAATGCTATTGCATTGTCAACTGGAACATTTTTTTCACCTGCCCACATTTATATTGCCTTATACTTGGGCTTAATGAATTTGAAAGCATGAGCTCCCATCTCTAATGGTGAATAGAAAGTCTTTGAACAACATGACAACAGCATAACTTTTTGCATGTTGTGTATATTTTTAGCACTGATACATAATATCATTTGCTACAAATAAAGTAATTGTATTCTATATTGTCAATTTTCCCAATCAAATCATGCAGAATGACTGCTCAAAGTAACTGTAGGAACATAGACTGTTGTACTTCCAAGAAGCTTTCATGTTTTTCAAACAGGGTAATTTCTCCCACTTTAGATTTATAGCATCAGGAATTCTGTCTTTGAGGAAATTCTTCTCAATCTGAGCTTTTTTGGTAATCTTTTGACAAATGTATTTATAATTCCTGTGGAAATCAGTTGGCAGGTTGAAATCCTACAGTAATACTGTACCTTTTGAAGGAAGGAAAACTTTTTTTAAGTTTGGCCACTGTTTTCAGAGGTGGGGAAATACTTCAGATGTCTTAACATTCATTTCACATCAGTTTGGGAAAGCTACCAGATGACTTATTGGCTTTCCATTTGCTGCTTTTTTCTTTTCTCCCTGTTAGCATCTGACTTAAGAGTAATCAATCAAATATTTTTATTGTGCAGACATGCACTACGCGAAATCTCACAGCTTTGATGTAGAACAGGTGTGCTTCTAAGAATTTTGAAGACAGTTCTGTTTTACCATTTTCTAACAGCCTAGTTAGTTTAAATCTTAGGTTTTTCTTAGCTATAGAAACCAGTTCTTTTGAAAACTGCTTACAAGAGATTAAAGCTTTGCTGGTTCTAATACAGTTTACCTAGCATTACAAAATTACCTAACATGAGGAGAGAGCTGAAGAGGAATGGTGTGTGGGTTTTTTCCTGCTCCTCTCCTTCAGGAAGCAAGGATCCCCTGGTGTATAGTAGTATAATCTGTTTTTTGTTTTGTTTTTTTAAATCTTGCATGGCAGTAAGAGTTCCCTTACAATTTATCTGTGGTAAAATAGTTTGAATGGGGAGCAGGGTAGAACCAGCCTTGCAGGCAGAGAAGCTGTGTAGGAAAACACTATGGAACTTGCATGATAAAGAGGACCATTGTAGAGAAGGTTGGCTGCTGAGCCCTAACCACTTAGCAGCCTCATCCCCTCTGAAGGTTGTTAAGAATGGAACAGAGCAGCCAAGTGGTAGAGGTTTCAGCCCCACCAGGCTCTCCCCCCCCTTCCCCAGACCTGCTGGAGCAAAATGACCTGCCCTGTGTTGCTAAGGTCTTAAATAGCTCCATTAGCCAGGGGAACTGCATACTGGATTCTGATTTATGCTGTTCTGAAACAGCTGTGCCTGTGCCCTGGAGTTCTTGTCCCAACTATTTCAGTGGGTGCTTCTGAAGCCTGGTGCTGGCTCAGCAGGACTCTGGCTGGCCTGTACAGGGCTAGGTTGCGGGCATGCATCAAAGCTGTTGCTCCTGCTCTCCTTCTGAGCACTTGGTTCCTGGGAGAATTGGGGAACATATGAGGTTTTGGTTTGTGAAGTTCATTCAATACCTCTCCTGAAGTCCTGTGGGGCCTTATTCTGCTCTTGTGTGCCCAACTCACTGTAAGGTAGGCAGGAGGGGGCTGAAAGCATGGGTGTAGTTTTGTTTTGAAAAATCTAGGTATGATCATGAAGAACCTTTTTCCCCCCTACAGGGTAAGTTCAGTTCCTACTGGAAGTTCTATTCAAAAAGCACTTCTAAAATACAAATCAGAAGTGAAAATATTAATACAGACAGAATTCCAAAGTCCCCCAATGGAAACCAAATGCCTGTTATAATTCCTTAAATGGAGAACAAAATAATGCAGTTAGGGCTTGGTTTTTTCAGGGATGCTGAACATCTGCAGTTCCCACTGACTTCAGCTGAAAGTCAGTCCCCTGCTCTGCTCATAAATTAGAGAAATGCTAATGCATAGAGTGGTTAGATATCAGCAATTAGAACCGTGAACACATAGAAGAAATGGATGATCAAAGTAGGAAAAAAGTGGCCTTCCTTATGAGAAGGCTGCTTGGACAGTGTGAGCTTGTTCACCAAATGCTATGCAGTATTGGCTGTTGTAGCATGACCAATATATTATCCATAAATTAAATATGCCAAATAACTAAATAGTTGAAGAGCACTGGGTGAGGAAGGGAAGCAGGCATGTAAGTTGAGATGGTAAGAGCAGTTTAGAATGGAAAGATGTGTTCCTCTCCATGCAATTATGTTAACTGCAAGGAAAGGAGAAATCTTTAGTGCACCAGCCAACCTCTTAGCGCACCACTACCTGGTTTGTTGGACTACATCTCTGTGACCCCTTCCTTCCAAGGGGTGCCCAAGCTGCACAGGGAGTTGAAGCATGTGTGAGTTCTAGACATCTTAGTCAAGTCACAAGCCCCATCTTCAAGCAGAGACGGGTGAGTTTTGGATACCAGTTGGTGGGAACCTCTATCTTAGTGTTCTCCAGTTCAGATTTGGCAAGGCAGGGTGTGGGTACAGGTTCGTCAGCCGTTTCCAACTTTAGAAACTTCTGCACAAAGCGTACTTCTGCCTGCCAGTCCCTCCCAGTGGCTAAAGTGTGATGCATGCACAGCAGTGTTCCAACAGAATGTCTCTAGTTCATACTGTAAACAAGTGAAGCTGTTTGCACAGACCTTTACCCTCCTGAGAACGAGCCATGGCACAGAGGCAGAAGAGTTCATAGTATGTTTGTGTAAATAACAAATGAAGTTACTGTATGAAGGTTGTGTTGAAAGGAGTTGTTGCAGACCAGTGTGTGTTGGTCTTTAATGCTAATGTTTTCTGAACAAGTAATAAGTCTGCGTTTTAAATAAACTAAATGTGCAATGGTTTTGTTCTTCACTTTACAAGATATCTCTACAGCCAAATGATGATTTGGAGGAGAAATGGCCTCTGCAACAAATCTTTGAACAGAGTAAGAAGCAAATGCCTATTCCCACTGGATGTATTATTTTTGCTTGCAGTCTGACTCTGCCACAGAGTGTTTGAACAAGTACAGCCATTCTGCTTGTGTCAGAACAAATAAAAAGGATGTGGGCTTTCTTTAAGGCCCTTTCCAGGTGCTGAGTGCACCTGTTTGGTGCTTGGTCAGCTCAGATGCTGGATGTGGGTGCTCTTTGGTGAAGGACATAGTGAATCTGTAAAGCACCATTGCACGCCTGCGGTGCTCTAGTATCAGACATGAGAGAATAAAAGGAATTTTACAAAGGTGGTTTAACTGCTGGGTGGTTGGATACCTAACAAAATAGGTAAAAGCAGGACCCCACCCCATGGATCAGTGCTGTCACCACAATAAACCCAGAAGGGATTACAGAGTCCTCAGTCCACTTCATCTGCCTACAGACTACAGCACAAAGTGTGTGTATACAAGATCAGGAATGCCAGCCAGGCATTCTCGTGCCCTTTTGCAAAGACGTAAGACGTAGTGATTGTAAGAGGGGCCAGACTGATATCTCTAGAGACTGCAGCTCTCTGTCCAACCAAGAGGAACTGTGTAGGTAATGACAACTGGCCCTGCCAACTTGCCTCCAGCCTGAGCAGGAGATAGTATCTCAAGAGGTGAGAAGATGGTCTTGTTTCTATTTGTCTTTCAGTCCTTAGTCTCCAATTGCCCATTGACACCAGGTCCCTCAGAGACCAAACAGAGGATTCAAACTCCTTCCTCTATCCTACCCCCAGTCACCTGAGTCAATCACTAATGTTTAAACACTTAGGGCCAGATTCTGAAACATAGGGAGGCACCTAAAGATGCACACTGATGCCTAATGGTATTTTCAAAATTGCCTAGGCAGGATAAGGTGCCCAAGTCCCATTGACATTGAAACCAATAGGAGTTAGGCACCTTACCCTGCATAGGCACGTTTGAAAACCCTCCTAGGCATCCATGTGCATCTTTAGGTGCTTAAATACTTACAAAAATTTGGCAGGAGGTTAATTTTCATAACACCCATCTTCCCTTTTGGGAGTGCCAGTTCCACATACAAGTCAGGTAATTCGCAGTGTTCCAGTTTGCACCTACAGCTCACTTCTCCCTTTAGAAAATGTAACCCTTCATTACCAAGGTGGCAATAAATTAGACATGCTTGCAGTGACAATCCAGTCTCATCAAGGCACAAATAAATCATGAGGCATTGAAGGCCATTTCACATAAATTATTTACCAAGGCCCCCAAAAAATTCTCCTGCTTATGATTTGAGACACAGGAAAGGGATGAAAATAGGGGGCCTCACCTACAGGTTTTCAGCCTGTTTCTGGCACCCCCTAACCTTGTGGGTGGACACCTTTGCTCTGCTGTTCAGTGTTCTCTGAACACCAAGAGACACAATCAAGCAGGAAGTGGTGTATACTCCTCCTGCAGCTGTCCTGTCACAAAGAAGGTGCTAGAGATGGCCCTCACAGGGGCAGGCAGGTTGTGCATGTAAACCCCCTTTAGTTTAGCAGCCACAATGATAGTCCTTTCCTTAAAGGCCCTCCACAACTCAGCCCCCCTCTACCTGCCTTTTCTCCTTGCTGAGCATATTGTTCCTCTTGCTGTACCAAGAATTTCTCCTTCCATGGCCTGTTTCTCTGCTTCTTGCACAGACATCTTTCTGCCATACAGTCTTGTGCATGGATTCCCTTGAGCTAATTTGCAAGACTGCTTCCCAGTCCTCTTCCACACCCTTCCTTCAGACCTATTTACTGATGCCTGCAGAAATTACCAGCTAACCGTGGCCAGTGACAATACAAATATAATGAGTATCCCTGGTGATTCCCATATAGCCATATTTATAGAGACAGATAAAGTGACTTGTAACATGTTAGTTGTGAGCACAACCTCATGCTCCTATCTCTGGTATCCTCATCCTCCACCTCCCCTCCCCATTTATTGTGTCAGATTAAAATAGACAGCCAGCTCTTTGAGGCAGGGGCTGTCTTTTACTCTGCTTGTATAGCACCGAGCACAACAGGCCTCCAAGTGTGATTGGATCCTCTGAACACCTTTATAATATGCATAAGGAATAAGGATGCGACCAGCATCCCACCTTATGCGAGGACACAAGGCCACCCTAACAGAAAGGTGCGAGGGTAGCCAGCCATGGCACAGTAAATCATCAGATGTCTTGCTAACATCCCCTATTAGGGCTTTTAATGTGACTGAGCTTCCCTGGCTACAGTGAAACCAGGGAGATGCACCTAACTCAGGTTCTCAGACTGATTAACTCTCAACTCAGTTGACCTTTTGGCTCTGAATTAGAATTAAACAGTAATGCAAGACTGTCCAGACTAGCCATATTTTTGCTAAACAGGTTTAACAGGAGAAGAATTATTTGCAAATTGTAGTGACTAGAGGGCCCAACCAAGATGAACTTCCTCATATTAGGTGCTGTACCTACATATAAGAGACTGTCAATGTCCTGAAAATCCTATAATCGACAGGCATAATTGACACAGGGTAGGCAAAAAGAAGTATAACGATCCCCAGTTTGCAGATGGGAACTGAGACACAGAGCAATTGAGTGACTGAGCCAAGGTCACACTGGGAGTTTGTAGCAGAGCTGGGAATCAAACCCACCTCTTGAGTCCTAGATGAGCACCTTGAGCACGAGCACGAGCCCTTCCTCCTATTCTTTGTATGGCCATGACTGGAAGGGCCATACGCCAAACGCAGCCCCCCAGCGTCTACTCTTCTCAATACATATATGCATAGCCTCCATTCATGGTAAAGCGAGAGCCATGTATAGGGTGCAGAGAAGAGGTCATAAACGCTCTGGGGAAAGGGGTCACCCTAGGGACAAGTGAAAAATTGAAACAATGCTACCAAAAATTCACCAAAGCCAAAGGCCGACTCAGGGACTGAATTGCCAAATAATAGAAGATCCTGCTACGAAAACCCCTTCAGCACCTGCCTCAGCTCTCATCCAAGTCAAGGATAACGGATTGTGCACTAGCTAATTAGCTAGTGCACAAAGTCATTGGTACTTTTCCACACCAGGACGCCGCTCACCTTGGGATCGCCCTCTTCCTATCTAGTTGGCACTTCCCTCCCCACAAACGAGATTGGAATGACAGTGTGGTTATGACCCCCTGGCACCTGTTTGTGATGGGGGGGCGGGGTTTGGCACCAGGTTGGCACCCCCTGAGTTAAGTGATCTGCCCAGTTCCTAGGGAGGCATTCATCCAATTCTCAGAACTACTGAAGGGGCCAATCTCAGCACTGGCACCAAGGAATGAATAGGCCAGAGGGACTGAACGACCTCATGTCTAGAGGTGAAGCACATTGGTGCTGTGAAAGCTCCTGCCACTGCTGCTGTGCTGAATCAGTCTCTAGGGCTATCAACCGCTATTGACGTGCTCCTGCCAAATTCACAGCCCTCCCTGCTCCCTTAACTCCTCTACAGCACTTTGACACCATGGTGCGATTTAAAACCCTTCGAGAATGCTGGTCTCTTTTCTGTCTCTTCTCACAAGGTCACCGCTGTTCATAGCGAGAGCCTTCTCCTCTGACACGCCTACTGTCTGAGGCTATCTCCCTGTATTTCTCTGGCTCACTGATTTCAGACCTCGTCTGAAAACATCTCTTCTCCCTTGCCTCTGTACCCTTATTCCACTCCACTGTGGGTAATATTTAACACTATCCTTTTGCTGTTTAATTCCAGAGTGGGATAGGGGTTGCATGAACATTTGCCATACAAAATCCTGTTCTATATTTTCTTGCATTGACTTGGCTTTTGCAATTTCTCTGGCTGGGTTTATTTAAATTCAGCAGCTACCAAGCAAGGACTGTAGATGGTGCCAGCCAGTTTCCTTATGCTCTGTCAGTAACCAAAGTCAACGGATGAACATGCCATATAGATTTGTGAGCAGCATGTCCCTATGTTGCACTGAATTCAAGCGGGAGCTCCTAAGTACAGACAGGCAGGTGGGAGTAACGTGGAAAGCTGTTAAACCGCAAAAGAATAGCCTCCACACTTGGCTTCCAAACCTAACTTTTCACATCCCAGCTCTGCTGCACCGCTGGAAAGGCACATGTGCCCGAGTAAACTGCTCCTCTTCCTGCTTTTTCTTTCTCTGCTAAATTGAGACTAAGGGAGAATTGTTGCTCTGCCAAAGAATTGACAGCAAAAGAGAACAAATGCAAAAAGCCAGGCGGAAAAGGGGCTGGGGAGACAAGTATGTCTCTGTTGAAAGATTCATGGGGGCACGCAAACAGGGTTATTTGCTCAGTGTACACACTGGTATTGTTTGCTCACTCTACCGTTGTGATCATGGATTGAAAGGGAGATGACACTATTAATTTTAATATGGAGGGTGCACGGAAGTATTTGTGTAACCCAGGTCAGTACTTAAATTACTTGGCTCACTCTTGTTATTATTTGTACAGTAACTAGGAGAATACCAAATACATACTAGGAGATAGTCCCTGTCCTTAAGAGCTTACAGTCTAAATAAATAAGATAGGCAAAAGGAGGGGAAGGAGGAGCACAGAGAGCAAGGAAATGACTTGCCCAAGGTTACACAGCAGCCCAGTGACAAAGCTGGGAACAAAAGCCGGACCCCAACTCCCAGTTCAGTGCTCTAACCATGGGCCACACTGCTTGTTAGAGAATTTTTTTATGCCTTTCGTTCTGGATTGGACTACATCATATTCCAAAGTAGCTAGATGAAATTCTCTGGCCTGTGTTATACAGAGGAACACATTAGATGATGTAAAGGTCCCTTCTGGAATTTAAAAAAAAAATCGATGAAGAAATTAACATCCCTTGTGGCAAAGTTGGGTCCATAGCAAAACACCTGCCTGGTTTCTTGTTAGCTCA